CGATTATCAACCTGACCAGCCTATTAACAGGAGAGAGTTGGCTTTACACACAGAAGTTGATAATGCACCATGTGTCGCCCATGTACTTATAAACCATGTTCTTGATAGTAATTAACAGTGTCATTGATGTCCCCCCGTGTGCAAGGTGTTATGAAGTGACAGAACATGTGTGCCGAGTTGTACGGGAGCAGCTTTCCGTCTGTGGGGCTGCGAATATTTTTCAACCAGGATTTTCTTGGGAGGAGGACGAGTTCAGAGGATGGAGAAAGTGGAAAGTCTGGCTCTTTTTGATTGGTCACAGTGAAGCAACAGGGAAGCTTAATAAACGAGACAAACTCAAAAACCCTTTATGACCCCATTTCCTGGCATGGTTATTGAACGGGATGGAATGAATAACATATTGATGATTTTGCTAATCTGAGGCCAAGAGGCCATTAGAGTCCAATGGGATTATCTCCTTTGGAGTTTAAATAAATGTCTGGCTTTACTGTTGGAGTCTGCAGAAAGCTCATGGAATAAAAATGGTGTGAAAACAATTTTGTTCTGTGAGAACATGAATGTGCATAGCAAACGCCACCAATCAGTTCTCATGTTTCTAGTTAAAGGAGGGGTTAATTTGTAGAAGCATTCAGATGGCAGATTTTATGAGCAAGAAGTGTAATGCGTTAACTTCATTGATTGGAGGTCATTTTAATCAATTCTGTCATCTTTGTTTGATTACTCCGAGATGGAAGATGATCCCAAAGGGAAAGCTTTGCTCAAACTTCTAATAAAGCCAAATTCTGCAATTCTTGAAATGGCCACTTGAGGCTCTCTCCAAAAGCAGGTCTATTCCCGTAAACATCCATGGAAAATGCCGTAGCTTTATAGCAGAAATCAATGCCTTACTAGCCTGGTACAAAAGGCGGTTATATCTCTGTTGCTAGTTCAACATCTTCATAACATCTTTATAGGAGGTATGATTTTTATAATGCATCTTTTTAAATTTTATCGAGGCCTGTTCATTATTAAAGGTTTTACCTGTTTTGAGTGACAGATTTGTGCGAAGTAGGCCGCTAGCAGTCCACTAGGCCTTACTTCAGCTCACTGACTGGGCCTTGTGACTGTTTTTCTAATGCTGTTGCCTTATGTAACATATTTAATATCTGACAAATAAAAACTGCTGTGTGGTACAGTCCATCCAAAAAGTCTGTGCTTCAGTTTGGACAATGACATTGTAGAATATTAAGCTGTTTTGCAGCAAATATACCATGCTGGGGACCAGAATTGGGAGTCGGACCCAGCACGCTTTTGTTCTAGAATTTATGCCTAAAACTAGAAAAGACCAGTTGAAGAATAACATGAACAAACAACAAGTGCAACAGCTAGCACTTAACTTAACTACTACTTGGCTTTACTCTTCATGAATAAGATGAGACAAGATGTTTACTTCTTTGTTTACTGCCCCGGTGTCGTGGTCTTGATGCGTTGACGAGGTGCACATTAAGCTGAGCATTTTTCTAGTATTCAAAGTATTCAAAGACAGATGCTGTAGAAGCACGACGAGCCATGTGGGCCCGTGTTTGCAGTACTGTGCTGGGTTCTTTCCAGCTTCTCCTCTGACTCATTTAAGAACAAAATACTGAAAATAAACACAACGACAACATTATAAATATCATCTGCTTAACAGCTTTGGATCTGGTGACCCGATTCGTCACAGATCAGCCTTCAGCTCTTTCCCTCTACCTGACAGGGCTGTTCTCTGACCCTGCTGTCACTTTCTTGTGGGAAGCAGTTTTAAATGCTTTCCCTCTCAAGGTCCCTCCAGGACAGCATTTATGTTCTTTCTGATTTTTTTTCCCCCCCTTTTCTTCAGATTTATAAAGTTTCCACATCCTGTGACCTTTATGTAGCATTTTTCATCACAGAGCCAGTTTCCACCAGTACGGCATCACGGTGGCACACTTTATCAAGTTTATATTGGACAGAGAACTCTTTGCTTGTTATAGCTGTCAAGGGAATAGAGTTCAAACTTTGCAAACTCACAGGCAGCAGTGTCGTGAAGCAAGCGTGGAATCAAATGTCGGAAAGAGCAGATAAGTGAGAAATTTCCAGTCGAGAGCTTCAGGTGTGCCCGGCCTGCTAATGGTAGGATGATTTTAAAGGTTGAGGTGTTGTGCATAGACACAGGGATTACTTTAAATTCGTCTTTAGCTCTTTGGTGTTATTTTATCCTGATTGCATCAAGGGAGCTTTCTGAATATGCTAAAAGAATTTGGCAATGGTTCAGAACATAATGATTCTGCTAAAGTGAGCTAAGGGAAAGTTTTTATTCAGTAAAGGTATAGGCGATGGCACAATGATAAGTTAATAGAAAAACTTGGAGTTCTTGCTCTTGCTTTTTTCTGGTTCAACATTTTGGACATGTCTTACGCAACCATTATTTTAGAAGAGGTTTTTCATTATATATGACAGCTTTGAGTTCATAACCGGATCTTTGCTCAGCCAGAACCGCCAACGGGCGATGGTTAAAATCTGACTCTACAGAGTTCTGTTGAAGACTGAACATTTTTATTGTCTAGGCCACTTGGGCTTGTGGGAAACTAGTGCGAGGACCCAGATGCTTCACACAGGGCTAACGGGGATGGGGGAGGCCAGCATGTGTATCTGTTTTACTGGTCAAAGTAGCAGGAGAGTGACGGGTGTCCGATAGCTGTTTGCCAAATCTATTCACATCAGGCCCGGCCTCTCAACAGGATTCGTATATCCATTTCGCTCTCGCTCACTACCTGAATGACATGAGAGACACAGAGGATGGGTTTCAGGCAGCCACACGGGCCTTGAGAGACTTAATTACTGCCGCGGTAGATTCTCCTCCTGATCTTTCAGAGAGCGAAAGAAAGAAGAGACAAATGTCTAGAGGGGCAAGCCAGCAGGTGGTATGCTTCATTAGATCTTATTAAAAGAGCAGCTCATTGTTCAGGTTGGGCTGGTAGAGGGCGCACAGCAGTACAGCAAAGTAAAGGGCAGCTCCACAGGTTCCAGAAGAATTTCTACCATGCTTTCCATTAGCATTTTAAATAATTACCCCAGCACAGAAACACATGGAGGATTATTCTAACTATGTGGTAACTGCATTTTGGTAAAGGCCAAACAGACATGATGATGAGGCTTTATGAACCTTTGTTACAAAGAGAAGGGCTTACATGTACAATGTACCCGAAGAAAAAGTTGTATAGAAAATCCGATGAACTTGCAGAGTTAAAGGTAAAAGAATAAAAACTTTTACAACGCTTGCCACTGAACTAATGAGTGTGGGCATGCCTGTTGCTAACACAATACTATATAGTACGCTAGTATGCTACATTATATATCTCCAGTCCATCTGCAATTTATTTAGGTTACACTTCATCGAGCAGGTTGAAAAGGAATAAAGCTATTTTTGCAACTTTTTTTTGGTCATTAAAAATAATCAGATGATAATTAGGAAAAATGTGCAAATCTTCCTCCTTGTAACTTCTAATAATAAAGATTTCTTCTTCTTCTTGTAACACAACAGCTCATTGAATGTCCTTGAATGTTAGACTGTAGCTCAACAGAATAAGAGATCTGAAAATGTCGTCTTCACAAAAATCAAAAATTGTCCCTGATTTAAATTTGGCCAATCAGTGCTCAAAGGTCATGTCATTGTGTGCTTCAAACTTGCACTTGTAGCAAAAAGATTTTCTGGCACAACTTCACCTGCTTCCGAGGTGCATGGAGAGGATAAAAGAATTCACAAAGCAGGAACTCCAGCAACACTTGAGGGAAGATGAACAACTTTAATAATAGACCAGCGCATTTTGGCTTGTGGCCTTCATCAGGGTCATCTGGGTCTTTAATGGTGAAAGCACGTTTGAATTAGAAAACAAGATTACATCATCACATGGGAACACATTTGTTAAAAGATCCTTATTTATGTCTATAAAATGTAAAATATCTACAATTTAGACTTGAATTGTAGACTTGCAACTTGCACTTGTACACAGAAAGTATTTAAACTGTTAATTTGTTTTAAGCTGACCTTTTCAAGTCAAAGACCTTCACTGGTGATGAGAGCTGGATCTCAAACAAGACCAAACAGCAGTTTTCAGCTCGCAGCATCCAAGCTTGAAAGCAACGGTCAGGTGACCAGTAGCGTGTTTGTTTTTCCAGTGTTCACAGGGTTTTGCTGTGAAACTTGATGTTCAGACTGTCAATGCAGTGTTCTGCTTTCACAAACTGAACTATGGTGTGTATCTACCATAGTGTTTTGGCACAAAGTGGATGGAAAATGCAGGTGATTACTGGTCACACCAACACAGTCGTTGCCCACCAACCACTCGTTCCCCAAGATTTATCTCCTGTAGATGTATTACCCATGCGAATACTGTAATAGGGACAACTTTGATCAGAACAGACCAATAGTGACCAATTCCAGGGAGCAATCCAAAATGACCATTTCTGTTGGGGCCAAACGAAAAGGCCTAAAATTCTTTATGGAGTTGGAGGCCTTTGTTATCACACCTTGAATTATAGATATTTTTCACTATTGTCTGTCATTTTCTAGATGAGATTTCAGAGTACTACTGGGCATTGGATTGGTTTTTCATTACTGGTACCACCCAGTGTTTACTTGGTGGCAAGGCTCCCGTCTAGGATCGCCCCCTCACCCCCACCCCTTTGCATGTACTACACAGAAAGCAGAAGGCGGGAACAGCAGTAGCAACAACAGATTTCGGAATACCACTGAGCTTTGGATTGATTTTTCCTAGAAAGAAGTGTGTGTCGAGATTGTTTGTGGTTGTTAGTATTACTAACAGTAATTGGGCATCGAAGTCATCAAACTTTGTCCAGTAGTTAATGAGATACTTCACACTGGCTAAAAATATATTATTACATATTTCCCTTTTGTCTATTCCCCCTCTTATTTGTTGTGTCTTCCATGTGTTTGTGTAGCTGTAAACACAAGCTGTATGCAGAGAAGCTGCCCAACACCACAATCATCATCCCGTTCCACAACGAGGGCTGGTCGTCGCTGCTCAGGACAGTTCACAGCGTGCTGAATCGCTCTCCCCCACAGCTCATAGCCGAGATCATCCTGGTCGACGACTTCAGCGACAAAGGTACGCAGCGCACACACGCTCATCACCACTGAGGAGAAAACACCTGCGTTCGTGTACATACGCACAGTCTGTGTGGCTCGCTGCAGATAACTGAACTTTAAGTGAACTATTTCTGCTGTTCTGTCCTCCCCTGCTCCCTTCCATGCACAAACACAAACCACTGAATCATTCGTTTGCTAGTAATGTTGACTGTTGCTGCTCAGAAGTAAACGTGGCGGCCAGCTTCTGCGGAGGCCCGAAAGTGATCTCAAGACACTCATGCGTATGTATATTATAAACAGACCGGGAGAGAAATGGAGACACACACACTCATAGTGGTGAGTCAGGATTTTAGAAATGTATCTCACTGGGCCTGTCGGCCATTTCTTAACAAGACTAGAGTCTTGTTGCTGAGAGCCTTGCCTAAATTCACTTCTGAGCATTTGGTTGGTTGTTGCCAGTATGGTCAGTAAAGGTAAAAGTATATAGGTATAGGTAGGTAACAATCTTATTTGTAACTCATTCAGTATAATTCCAAGAATATCATTTCTATCTGCAGTAGTAATACTTGGGGTCAAGGCTGTTTTCTAGGTATTTCCTATAAAGCTGGGCCATATCATACCGTTCATGGTAATACCGGTATAATGTTGGGCAACGATAAGAAAATGAAATATCGCACTAGAATATGGGTAAAACGCGCATGCGCAGTGCCTTTGTTTTCATACGCACATAGCGGCGACGGAGAATGAGAAGAGCGAAAGCGGATTGGTTTGTAAAAATGCTGCAACTTCAGAGGTGTGGAGCTGGCTTAGCTTTTGTCTGTCAGATACACAACAAAGCACTATTTTTGGTAGAGCATGCTAGCGGGCCGTTGTTGTTACCGTGTTTTTTGGAAAATACGGCACACTTACAATCAATCCTTTTGATTTTTCTGAAAATCGACAGTGACCCTTATAATCCCGTGTGCCTTATGTATGAATTCTGGTTGTGTTTACTGACCTTGAAACGATTCAATGTCGTACACGGCGCTCGAAAATGTGTCAAATGTTTCAGTACGACTTTGCTGAGCTACGAAGCCGCACCGCTTGATGGATTGTCGGAGCATTACGGCTATCGTAGGCAGGAGCCTCGCGGAGTGATACGTACTGTGCTTCAACATAATATTACCGTATTGTGTGTGTATAACCTCTTTTTAAGTTTCGTGGATATTATACATGGTTATGCTCAGGATATGTCGGCCAGTTTCCACTGGAAATGCCTTTTGGTTAAACTGTCAGCAAGGAATTTGCATTTGCACTGTTACATTTTTATATAACTTTAATGCAGATAAAAAACAGCTGCTTGTTTAAGTGAAAATACATTGATGGGTTTTTTTTGCACTAATAAAGTTGAGGAGTTGTAAAGTATTTTGTCTAGTGTCAATTATATCGTCAGTTATATCGTTATCTCAAATTTTCAAATGTATATAAATAATTTTGGTCATATCGCCCTGCTCTACTTCCTATCCTTGTTTCAACTTACTTTCCGCAGGCAGCTGTAGCAAAAACCCAACACAGAACACTTAGAACAGCTATGATACTGAATAAGGCAGAAACAGCAGGAAAGGGACAGCTGGGTTGCAAAGAGGCTTGCAGTGGCGCAGCAACTTAGAGGAGTTGGTGTGGTTCAGCTAATTTGGTGGTGGCCCAAACTAATATTACACTTGGTTATATTAAATGCAAGTCCTAACCAAGCTCTATGTGCGAGCTCGTTTTCAAAGCAAAGCCTCAAGCTTCCCTGTCTGCATAAAAAGAATTTATATAGTTAATATGTTCGGAGCTGCTGCCTGCAGCCGTCTCTGAACAGATGCTGATGATGAGGGTGTTCTGTGGCCCGGCTAGTGTTAGCGAGGTTAGCAGCAGAATAATCTACTTTCTGGTGTGAACCGGTATTCTCACACAGACAGCTTAATCAGTTTGAACTCTGGAATTAATGTACAGCTTTGAACCCTTACATAATAAATCGGGGCGACAAGTGCAATGTTATCAGCAAGGCCTCGATGGAGGTGAGAACACGATATTAATCACGAAGCCTGCTGCAAAGCCACCGTGTGATGCATAATTTCAGGTTCACTTTTCCAGCTCCTTAGATATTAAATAATTTATGGAGAAAAAAGAAGAAGAAGAAACTGGCATGAAGGAGGATTTTTACTCGACTTTCAGAGGTGAACTGCTCTTGTCGGTTGTTAAGGAGAGCGGTAACCGCTCACATTTTATCAAACCCTGTCACTTCCTTTCAGGCGGATTAACAATCTCCGTGCTCCATGGCAGCAGGCTAGCCCGCAGAGTTACTGATGGCCTGTTATATTAATTGGCGCTGTTTTGTTTTGGTGCCTCGCTGCTGACATGAGGAAGATAAACAATTGATGAGATGTTTTTCTCAGTGCAGTTATATTTTCTGAGGTGCTAATTAGTACCAGGTTTATATGTTGTGTAATTATAGCCTTGTTGCAGAGCGGCGTTTCAGGAACAGCCTCTTCTCTCCTTTTAATATCATAATTAATGCAACTATTCCTGTTTGACTTACAGGATACCTGATGATTTATATTTGTCTCGGTGCTTGCTGTGCTCAGCTTTGTGTTGTATTGACTCAACAGAACTTTTCTCTTTGGGTTCAGGAAAGTTTTGTTAAGTGGATTGTGAACTTCTGCTCATTTCAAACTAATTTAACTTCTTGCGATGTTATTTAAAAGTGTAAGAATCTTAAAATAGATTAAATTAAATGTGAAATTAGAGTACTGTTGTTCCCAGTTTACATAAATTGCAAGTTTGTAATGTGCGTGTGGGTGTGTGTCGGCTTCAGATCAGTTCTTGTGCTCAAAAGTTAGAATTCAAAAGACTATTAGTGGAACCGAACATCATGTTTAATGAATATGCAGATGAAAAGTTATGTAGCTCTAATGTTATATACCCGATTAAATCCTCCTCTGAAAATCATTTTCTTGCATCTTTTGGAGATAACATTGTTTATTTAAGTTTAATGTGTTGCTATAGATTTTCACTTTCTTTGGTCAACCAAAAAGGGAAGCGGTTGCTGGAGCTGTACGTGGAAGTCATCATTATTGTAAATACTAAGAGGGGAGTTTTGGGTGGGAGATTTTCTTTCTTTTTTTTTTTTTTTTAATTTATTTTTATTCTAATGCATTATTTTAAGAAATGGGAAACATACTTACTACTTAAAAACAAGTCAAATTAGTACAAGCACTGTGACAGGTTATAGTGAGAGTGAGGGTTATTGCTTTGTAACAGAAGGCCGCAAAAGGAGGTGGGAAAGAAGGATGATAAAAGTTGAGGAAAAAAGGCACTGGGAAGAGATACTTAAAAAAAAAAAAAAAAGATTATAACTGTCAATATTTTTTTTGTGATTAATATTTTATTGTACTTTTAGAACACTACAGTCCACTGCAGAGACAGATTACATCACATAAGAAAAAACATCAGCATAGCAGCAGAACAGTAGAGAATACCAAACCAAAATGAGGGGGGACAAACAAAGCAAGAGATAAACAAAAACAAGAAGAAAAAACAACAACAACAAAACAACAACAACAAACAAACAAAAAAGAAACCAAAACAGCCAGCCTTTGACTATATGGGTCTTACTGCATGCCACACTCTGACATCCCTGAGAGTGCTT